GAGTTGATATTCAGGATGTTTTCCATACATGAATAGTTATACCCTTTTTACAAATCAACTATTCGACCCACGAAGGAATATTGTTCAACAGTGTATAGCAGCTCAACAAAACACGATGACACGGCAGTGGAACAAGTAGAGAGGTCATTCACAAAAAGCCACCTAGGAGCTTCTTCAAAACTGGGAAGTTATGAACGATGTGATAAGCTCAAACTTGACGCGCTCTGGCTACGGCACATGAATATTTTCCATCAACTATTTTCTCAGCAAGTACGCCGGAGTCTGAAAAAATCTGTCGCCTGGAACGGGTGACTACACACTGGAAAACGAATTTTAGCAAACACCAGCAAGTTCTCGTCTGTGCAAAAAAATTAAGCAAACTGATTGTTTGTTCCACAACAAAAAGTAAAACGTACGAGCACGGCCTAGCTTTCCTCTGAGCCAGTGCATGTTTCACCGTCCTACTATCTCCCGTGGTTTGGCTGTCATATGTGAGAGAACGATAAAAGCCAGTCGTGATCATTTCACTTCAGTAAACCATGCACTATCTCCTCGTTTTCCTTCCCATCGTTATTATCTGATTTGACATGCCATTTTCCTAATCCACATTTGATTAAAGTTCTGTACACTATACACTTACCCGATCATACCAATATAGGCGTGTCTCACTTCGCCGAGAATAAAGCTTATTTATTTAGTTATTTAACCAAATTCACACATTGAAAGGGGTGTGATAGTGTTAGCGTCAGTGAGACTTTGAGCTGAAGGTAAAAGCAATGACTAAAACAGCCAGTAGGGATTAGGAAGTTGTACACTAAAAAATCGTCGATCAATAAGCACACTAAAAACCAAGTCGGTATTTAGAAAGGTTTACCAAAGCATATCTTTCACTGAGAATTAAAAGTATAGTCGTCTCAAGAAAATTACTGAAGCCTGCTAGCTTCCATTCATCCTAGAAAAAAATGCAGCTTATTACCAAAATTTACGCAACTTACCACAGCTTGAGCAAGCAATGAATCCTCCGTTAACTAGGTCTAGCGAGTGAAAATCCTCACCTTCTACTGAAGGACTTGGGATGTAAGATAAGTGCTTAGGTTCGCTTTGTCACAGTACAGCTTAAAACTTCGTCAGCTACAGGAATACGGAACAACAGGTTATCTTAGTGACATGTTTTGTGTCTGTTCTTTCATAAAGATTCAATTGTGTGAGCGACACACAATAAATGAACGGTGTCAATTTACTAAGTTAATTCCCATTACTACACTGGAGTAAATGTCGCCGATAAACGCTTTGAAAGGATGTAGTCTTCATTTACTAAATATCTTTCAAACGTACTTTGTGAACCGAACCTATGGGCATTATCATTACTAAGTGAGGTTTTATCACATATCCTTTCCTTAATAAACGATGAACGAGAAGCTGTGAAACACATAACAGCGGTGAGGGGACAAAGTTCACCCATCTTAGAAATAACACTGACGAGTCCCAACAGAGCGAAACGCTTGCCTGATGCTGTTCCGGATTGGTAGCTTACCTATGCGGCTTGGAATCTAGTTGCGATGAACCAACTTGAATCATATTGAAATCCGTCTACTCATTCGTGATCAAATAACACTCTACTGATAAGCTGGAAAAAAAGCCGCAGCTTTCAATAATCAGATGCATGCAGATGCATGTTCTGACAGAACCTAAGCAAAGTATCCACTGCATGCAGTACACGAAACACACGTGCCATTTTAGTAAACAGGGGAATAACAATTTGCTTGTATGGAGAGCAGAAACCTGTCATCGATTTGTCAATCTGGTATCGATAATAGCCGCGGATAAACAGATGTAACCGTCAAAATCGAAATGTTTGTAATAAGGAATCATCCACGACTTGTCAACGATCAAGACCAGATGACAATTAGTTACAACCGCGTAAGCATAAAATCCTGGACCGCCACTTTAATCCAAAGGTATCGACCAACGGAATGTGCTTCCTCGGTCTGGTCAGCAGGTAGAAACTGCGAACCCACCGCTTTTGGATATCGACCAACTTTTCTTCTCGTATCGATTTTAGTTCGGTACAATGAAGCACTGGTTTATGACGAGCATAAAAACGAACGCTTGACATGTCGCGTAGGATAGTTAGGGTGATAAGTACAAACTAAAAACAGTGCCAGCAAAAGAATGCGTGAAATTTCTCCGATTCCCCGCGGGATCATCAAGCTTCGTAGTTGCCTTTTATTCTGTCACGTAGATTTGCCGAGGACTTCGCGAGTCTCGCTGTACTCACTCCTAGCTAAAGTGTCGGTGAGTATACATAGATTTCTAGGATTGCGTAGGGACCCAATGACTAAGATGACAATTTGATTTTTTGCACGAAGATACCTGCTGCTAACAACACCTGGCGGGTATGCGACCAGTGACCTACCACTGCGTTCAGTGAGCGCTAACTAAACTAAGGCCTTGATACGCCTTCAGAACATCTGGCTTTTCCACTTGGCAGGTGTCTATGCGCCCACAGCTTCGCCGCATGGGTCCACCGAAGCGAACCCTGTGATCAGCACATACAAGTGCGTGTTCAGAGTCCATTCTCGGAATCAAATTTCATCGACGGTATCGGACACAGCTTCTCAGTGTTGTCCGATCGCGATGTGATTGCCCGAGGTAAGTAGCGGCCATGTCAACGACTGTTGGTTGCTGCGTCAGAAGCTAATGCACGCGAGAAATATGGGACCGTTTTCTCATTAGCATTTTGGGAGCCTACACCATCTTGGCCGCCAAGATGAAACTCAGCAATGTATATTTCTTTAATTTAGATTTCAGATCGCCAGCCAGAATAAAAAGAGCCGTTCTGTTCCTGTAAAGAAAGACCTCATTTATTTAGGCACAGAAGTCATCTTTTGCTGAATCAGCGATAAAGCCTGTTGGAACGTAGGTCGCAATGATAAACAAATAGGGGTGTGTGCAAGATCACAAAGCTTTAAACAAGTTTAGTAGTCTGAAGTTGCATATATGGCTGTTGATTTTGATCGTCTATTAGAAAAAGTTCCCCCACGGACTCAGAGAAATGCCTACACGGACATATGAAGCTGGATCATTTGCAGAAAATTGTAACATAAAGCGCAACCAGAGTTACATGTTGTGGATAGCAGAGTGACAACAAAGCACTAATCTTAACGGATGGTCTCCTATAAACAGCAGATAAAATTCTACAAGGCAAACCTTTTTCCAGCTAGTGCTGCTGTTGGTCGATCTACAAATAGCTCGGACTATACTGCATGCTAGTCTTATGGAGGATTTAAATGTTGTTGTTGCGAACTGTTGGTGTTATGTGCGTTTGGTTTTAAATGGACATGTCACCTAGACTAGAGCAACACTCTACGACTGTGTGGGAGTTAAAAATAGAAAACGAACGATTGCTGAGAGGAAATAGCGGGGCCCTAGAATATGGTGTGGGTATGGGGCATAAAAGGGACGCGTTTTGGGGAGAGGATGAACGAAAGCGTGCCGCTGTAAAAATAAAAGGCCAGTAGGACTGAGTACTATCATACCCATCTGTTTTCACCTTGCTCGTTGCAGCAGACAAAGTGCTGATAATTATCTTCTGCAACTGGCAGAACATCAAGAAATCATGGAGAGAGTTCATTATATTGTATTGCGAGTGCAGGATAATGCCAGGTGGACTAAAAATAAACAGGCTAGCGACTAGGATTTTAGCTTAAGCCTTTGTTCAGTAACCAAATCTCTTGGTAGCGGCTTCTGGTCAAGGTCTAAAAAAAGTTCGTTTGATGGAGTATAAATCCGACCTCACCCCAAAATTTAATTTGGATGACAAGGAGACAAAGTTGTTTTCAACTTCTAAACGTTGACCCAACTGGTATGATTGTAGACGAGGGTGGTCAGAGACCCCTCTAGGTCAGGCATGGTTCTCTCTAGCTGGAAAAGGATCAGACGATCGTTACGATTTTATGGGTCTTGTCAGTGGTATGCGTTCCTAGAGACACTGACGGTTCCGGCTTCCGGCTTCCGGAGGCGAGTAGCTTGTGCTAATAAGCCATATGTGCGGTTAGTAGCGGTGGGACCAGATAATGATAAGTTACAACATGGAGTTCTCTGAGTACAACGTACAAGTGTCTTTTAAATATGCTTAGTGTCGAAGAGGAGACAATCGATCCAGGAAGGACATTTCAGAAAAGACATACACTTAAGGCTGGTACACTCTTCTGTCGGTTTACTGGAGGCAGCTTACAAAGAATTACTGTTGACCTTCGGTAAACATTGACATATATGATTTGGACCGTGCAGGCACACAGCGTCACTTATCAGGCCGCATCATAATCAACAACGACGTTTGGTTAATGCTCACAAACGGTTCCGCTTCTGCTCGTGTAAAATATTACTCAATCCAGTGGTTACATGGAAGCCCGCATTTTAATGTGCTCCAGAGCAATGAGGTCATTTTTTAACCATGGCTATTAAGCTTGGCTGAGTATTTGTGGAGATGACAAAATCAGCGCTTAACATCTGACGAAAAATGCTAGCATCGATTTTTTTCGAAATCAGCGCGGCATATAGCGGTAGTTCGAACCGCAGCTCAGTTGAACTAATCCCCAGTTCATTTAATCGCGTTGACCGTACCTAAAACAGCTCGTTGTAGCATACGCCGCCAATACAATATATTGCATTCCACTGCTGGTTTAATGCTTGGTTGGATCCGAGTGTGGGTAGAGATCTATGGTGCAGTACTTGTGGTTCTCCACCATTCTTAATACACCACCGAGGTTCGCTAGCAATATCTCTCGATATCGGTGGAGACCCACGGTGTCTTTGATTGGGAAACCAGTTTACAAGTATTCTACTCAATCGTGCAAATAAGTAGGAAACCCGTCGTGGAACAAAGGATTAAGAGTAAGAGCCGGTTAACCTCTTCGTGTTGTTAAGGCATCTATTTCCAATGTGCCCTGAAACCATATGATCTCCAAGTCCCCGTTCAAAAGCAGTAACTGACTCACTAGCCCCCAGCATGGTTTCAGTTTATCCAGTGTCTCCACATGTCGAATTGGACTGTGATTGAGCACCAATGTGGTGATTGCAGCAAGAAGTGTGGCGTAATAGCTTGTAGCGCACAGTTGAATCCAGCGACCATAGGTGTGCCTGCGGGGAGGACATAACGTAGATTAAACCACGAGAGAGAAGAAAAACGTAACCTACCATGATGTCATGGTAGGATTGGGTTTTAAATGAGGTTCGTGGTACTGAGGTAAAATACAAACATTTAATTGAGTCAGATTCAGGTAACATTGTGGGTTAAACACATGTTCTATTTGCGCACAACAATGGACAAATTCTATAGTGTCTTTCACTTCCACATCAATACATTTTATGACTTAAGTAGACAGCATAGCTTCCGCATAAAATAATTAGGTGAAAAGATAAACAGCAATTAACTTAGCGTTGTTTAAAACTGTACGCTTAACAAGACACTAGACCGGGACCGAATTTAATCAAACATGTACCCAGGAAGCCAGTGTTAATCTATTTCGTCATATAATAGGTTGGAAGCGCTTCCTTCAACTATAACTTGAGGATGAGATAGATTCCTCTGTCCTGCCGTGGCGAGAAAAGTTATACCTAGTATATTGCTTAAGATTCCGTGCAAGAGGTGTAAATTGCTAAAAAAATTACGTCTTGATACAGCCTTTAGCCATCCAGTGCACTCCCATACCAGCAAAGCATGATAGATAAAACATTACACGTTTTCAATTTTATGTTGTACCTCGGATTCTTGGGCATTTTTCCGCATGTTGCTTACATTTGTTTATATACACGGGAGCAGAACGCGACGAGAAACGCTAGCTTAAAAACACATGGGACGTAAATCTCTCAATTTGATATTACATTTTACGTTTTTCATGCGGCGTTTGGTTGTGCTACCACATAACCCGTCTCTCAATTGAGCTATAGCTTAGGTAGTTGACAATTATTTTAGCGTCTATAGCGACCAAAGTATGCAAAACTGGCAAAACACTTGCCGAAATTGCGTTATGCAGCTTTGTTAACCTATAAAACTTTAAAAAATATGAGGAACTCTCTGATTTTTGCAATCTTCGCTTTAACGTTGCATTGATAGATGGTTTTTCAGCTAACATGTAAGCGCCAAGGATGACCGGAACATAGCCTAGTTGTGGCGTGCCGGATTGTCAGCAGTGCAGCCGGAGTGCGAATCCTGGGCGCGCAGGCTTTTGTACTCGCTCCGGCGGTATACTAAAACTGGAACTATGCTGAAGACTGCGATGGCCATTGTCAGTCTAAACTTAAAGCAAATACCCATAAGCTTGCACAGCTACAGGAAGGCCTCTCTGCAAACTTTCTGCACCAATAGTACGTTTCGTTCTAATGGAGCCCTACCAGTATTCAAAATTGCTCTGTGTATTCACGGCGCTGGTAAGGGAAGACCTGACCGTGACGGATAACCACTGTCCTCTGCAAGTGCAATAACCTGCACGGCTGCGGAAGATGGATCGGGATATATCGCAGTTAGATTTCAATTCGTAATGGTCGACTGTCATGCGTTATGGTCCAATGGCATAAGCTGCTGTCTAGTTGGCTTTAGCTTCTAGCGTTCACGGGTTCGATCCTCAGTAGTGGACCGATGGATGCGCACCGCGGATGAGCCCCAATAGGTCAAAAGGCGCATTTGGTGCTTTTCCGGATTGGTAGCTTACCTATGCGGCTTGTAATCTAATTACGATGAACCAAATCGAATATGAAAATCGCGCGCTCAGAATTCGAGAATATGCCTAGACTAGGGACCGTTCGCAAGCCCAACCACCCACTGGTGTCAACCCCTCATTTGCTTCTAAAAGTCAAGAGGCTGGTGCCCATGCGGTGACCACAGCGCTACATAAATCCGTCGCAAGCAAGCTGCACTTTAACGTAGTGCGTCGGTTTGCCTACCACTTTGACTTATAGAGCTTTACTGAGTGGTGTTTCGGCCCGTTGAGAGCTGCTCCTACTAGATTTGTCAATGGTTAGAAGAAAGACAAACAGTTTCGTGGTCCTCCAGGTTGGCGATGAGAAGTGAGGTGGCGTCAATTTCTGTAAAACTAAATCATTACTATCTCCTCGATGCATTGTGCACAGGCTTCTGAACCAAAGGCTTATTGTTGAGAAGGTTAATCGTCCTGGCAGAATCTCAACCCACATACAACCACGACTACTTCGTCAAAATTTGATTACATTCTGCCTCGACCTCCGCGTAACTCATGAAGGGTCGCCTTAGTTGCTAAACACAGGAATACAGATAAGCGAACTTACCCTACTGCTAGCGCCACTCTTCTTTCTTTTTACCAGCCTTATTCCGCTCCCAACTCCATTACTAACATTTCTTCTGTAGTTCCCAGCTTTAATGACAGCAGACACATTGCCACTGGAGTCGGGCTAACTGCAGCTACCTTCCTACACCACCCACTGGATACCTATCATCAACCGTCATTCATAAGGCCACGCTGTCCCTTTTCCTTGGCGGCGTTCAACGTTCACACTCTAAGACAATAACAGGCTAAACAACAGGCTGAACTCATACGAACGTTAGTTACGCTGGGTACTGAAATGTGTTGGGTATCCGAAACTAAGATCAACAGCTCTTATGGTGTTGTTGAATTAACTGCATCCGGAATATCATCACTATTGGTTGCACGCATCCGGAGACACTGATACGACAGCCTTTGGTCCAGGTGGGGTGGGCATCGTACTCAGCTTCAAGGGTGAAGCATTCTTGGTTGCTTGGATTCTGCTGATCAGCTGTGTGGATGCAGTCTGTTTGACGACATGGACTAAGGGTGATTCACGAAGTAGTAAATGATGCTGGTTGTACCTGGTTTCCGCTTACGCTTCCGCCGACTGTAGTTTTGCTTCGTAAAGGACACATTCTATCACGAACTAAACACGCTGCTACGCATGTCTTCCAGTTCATATATCTTAATTCTTGCACGGGATATGAACGCACAAGTAGGGCGTCCGAACTCTTCAGAAGCTCAACTAGGTGAGAAATATGGGCTTAACTCCGACCGTATGGACAACGGGGAGCATCTTTCGCAAGGGCATGCTGATCACCAGCTGTTTCTCAGTAGCATTGCTTTCAGACACAGGGGGCACCGAAGTGCCAATTGGCGTCTTCCTGTAGCTGGCCAGCGATGGACCCAAATTGATCAGATTGCCGTAAGTTACAGGTGGTGTGGTTCCATCCGGATTGCCGCTATTTCTGGAGTACCTGCGTTAACTCGGACCATGCCTCGGTACTCTGTCGCTTTTCCATGAAATTTACGGGGTGGCGCACCAAGCGTCTCCCCGAATGGCAAGTGAAAAGTTATCTCAGCCCTTGGTCGCGCAAGCGTACCATGTTGCACTGCGTACCGAAGGTTCACCGCCTTGTCCTAATGACATTGAACTTAAGTCGAATAGGATCTCGGTCGCCATGCAGGAAGCAGCATCATCTGCTTGTGGTCCTGTCAAGTGTCAGCGCACCAGACACTGGATATCCCGGAGGTCGGTGAACCTGTAGGAATCCAGAAGGAAACTCCCGGCTGGCTCTGCGTACAATGTGACCAGACGGACGATTAGGCTCGAAATAAGCGGAGCCTGCGAGCTGATAAGGGGTTTGGTGGACGAGCACGGCTAAAGAAATGGAGGAGGTGAGAGCAGTAGGGAAATCTCGCACACTCTTCCAGCTGATTCGCACCATTGGTCCCAGGAAACCATGCGTCAGTGAGACAATCACAGACAGCGCGTGTACTCTCATTCACAATAAGGAGCGCGGAATTGCTCGTTGGGCGGAACAATTTCGAGATAAGTTCACTTGACCCCTTGCTTCTGGACCTCTTCCTGCTCAGGTGATGCAGAGTGAGCCATGGACGGTTAGTTCAGAGGCCCCATCGGAGCACAACCCGCAATCTTTTGCGTGCCACTGGCCCGGATTCGCTGCCACATGCACCATTTAACGATGGAAGTGAGGTGCTCTGCATAACACTGACTTCCATAATCAAACAAATCTGAAAGCAAACTAGTGTCTCGGCTAACTGGAGTGAATCGACCATAGTGGCAGTCTCACTGACTGTGCTAACCAAAATGTATTAGCGGAACGGGAGTAGTGACACAATTACTGGCCTCAACGGTCTTTCGTCGCCTCACTGCGGAAAGAGCATCCCGGATTCTGGAAGAGCAGGCAGATGTTCACCCAGAAGGGGCTACATATCCCATAAATTCACTTTACGGCAAGTGCTAGAAAAATACCGCGAATACCGCAGGCCGATAACAGCAGCGCTCCTCGATTTTATGAGTGCGTCCAAGTCAGTCCATTGATGCATTCTGTTCGTAATACTTGCTCGGAAAGTGTTCCCATGAAAGATATGAACATTTTACCTGCTATGTACAGGATCACTACAGGTCGCCTCAGCGTCTCCGGTGACCTGTCAGATAGCTTTCCGACAACAAGTGGCGTAAGTCAGGATTGCCCAATTTTACGAAGTTTGTTCAATTTCGATATGGACTGCGTCATGGAGTGTTCCTTGCGGATTCTCAAGATGCAGGCATGGTGGTGCTACCTGCTGACAGGCTAGCTGGTCCTGATTGTGCTGACGATATTGTCTTACTTGTTTATGATGTTGGGGAGGCCCAATCAATCCTAAATTACCCGTGTAAAGTGGTTCCATTATTTCGTACGCGCTTTATCCCTTCAAAGTGCAAGTGTTGCCTAGGACCACCAGTCACTTGATAATCCCTTAACCATAGATGGAAAAGAGCTCGAGGTAGTTGGTCGATTCATTTACCTTAGTAACTGTATCAGCAACGAGGGGCGCATAGCCACTGATGTCAGTTTACATACTGCAAAGGTCAGAACTAACTTTTTGAATCTGCGACCTCTTTGGCGACAGAAAGGTAGTTCCCTCCGTCTAAAAGACTGAGTTTACAAGGCCACAGGGACAGCCGTCCTACTTTATGGGAATGAGACTTGGCCCCTTCGATCTGAAGATCTGAGGCGCCTTCAAGTCTCTGATTATCGGGGTCTGCGGAGGTTTCCTAGTGTCGAGCTGCACCAACGAATCCACAACGATTATGGGCTCAGACGATTGCTAGACAGTGATAATTAAGGTAGT